AGAAGCAATGAGCTTAGCCGACGACGCTTTATAGGAATTTGAAGAAATGCGACAAGATGCAGAAAAAAACTTTCATTTGCTTTTCGAACACGTAGAAGAAGTATGCACCAACCTAGGTACAGAAATCAAAGTACCGCGATACAGCAGTCGCCAAACCGGAGACGCCGAGGCATACTATCGCATTGCTTTTTACATTCCCTTCCTTGATACATATATTGCTCATTTGAAAAGCTGGTTCCTAAACCATAAATCCGTTTTAAATAATCTTAGTGTTTGTTTCCAAAGTATGATTTTAACGAAAAAAAACTGAAAAATTGCTTGCTTTCTATGAAAAAGTAATCGACTGCTCGAAACAAAACTTTGTTCTGGAGGTAAAAAAGTGGAAAAAAGGAGAAGCTTTTCATGCCTGAAAAGAATTAAAACCTACTTGAGAAATACAACATGTCAAGAAAGGCTCAACGGTCTAGCATCTATGAATATTCACAAAGATATAAATTTTTCAGTTGACGAAGTTCTAGAAGAATTTTTCAAAAACCCACGAAAAATTTGAAAATTCTTCGTTTCATTGATTTATAAGTAAAAATAAAAATTGAATGTGTTTACAATTATCAAAATGTTTTATAAATAAAAAGAAAAATTGAATATATGATTTTAAAAATTCGTGTTTGAAACTTTATTACGCACACTTTCTTCTAAAGAGCCTTTTTCTATACCCATATTAGTGAAATGTTATTCTTTGACTTGAGGGGGGGTTTAACCCCAAACCCCTCGGCCACTCGGAAGTACGTGGTAAAAATAAATCTTAGGGCTCAGTTATATGGCATACTTTGCACTGCACTGCATAGCATGTCATTTTACGTAGAAATCAAAAATCAACCGACTTTTACATATGTAATGCCGTGCGTTGGGTAACCGCTTAGACGCAAAGTTCATTTAACAGATTCCTTATGTGACAATTCTCATACAATGCCAAGTAAGCATAAATGAGCCTTTACCTTTTGGATAGAGAGGGTTCAGACCAGGTGTTTCTTGGTTCGTAATCAGCAGGGAACGGATTTTTAGGACCTAAAAACCTATAAAAAAAGGCAAAATAAAGTAGCGAAATAGGCAGGAAAAGGCACTCGAAATCACAAAAGGCAAAAGAAGGCGCTAAAAAAGACAAAAACCGAAAAATAATCAAAAAATATATTGATTTTAGAAATGTTTATTTACAAGTAAAAAGAGAAAAGCTATGAACTAGTTTCGTTATATAAAAAATGTTTACTTTAAATCTTTGACTATTTTCTCCTTTCGAGTTTTTAGCTCACAAAACTTTAATCGCTACACACTGAGGAAAATCACCTTGTAAAAATAATTTTTTTTATTTGATTACCGTTTAAAAATGTTCGTATTTAAATCAAGTGAAAAGTGTTCTAAATTGAATATTTCCATTATACATACACTACGTATAGTGGAAATATTCAATTAAAATACCTACGCGCATATTAAAATGAAGCGTTTTTCACTGCACGGATGGCGTTTTTCACGTCTCGGATGCTTTTTCATAATAACATATACTGCTTTTACACAGTTCAAGTATTGAATTCAATTCTGCTCGCTTGTTGTAGAGAGGGGGTGAGAAGAAAAGGGACACATGCGTCTGCACCGTCAAGTCGTTTCAACTTTCTTGCTTTGCTCTTGGCATTTTCGTTGCTTCCCATTTAAAGAACCAAAAACTTGAATTCAACAGAATTGAAACGTGTAAAAGCAAATAGAAAACACAAAAGAGAATGAGCAAGAATTGATTTCAAGTACTTGAATCATGTAAATCGGGTGTAAGAAAGTATATGTATACAAAGCGGGGTAGCCAACTCATTTTTGAGAATCCCCCGATTTCAGCTATGTAATTTCCCGATTTTGCCCGAAATTTCGTAAAATTCCCCACCCATAGATATCTCCTTATTAAAAGAAAAGTTGTTTCGATATATTGGGGGTGTTTCTGTTTATTTTATTGCTAAATAGATATCTCCTTATTAAAAGAAAAATTGTTTCGATATATTGGGGGTGTTTCTGTTTATTTTATTGCTAAATGTAATTTATCTATGTATTCATAAATCAAACCAAACTTTGGTAAAGTTAGTTAACAAATAAAGAATAAAAAAGTGTACATATAATACTTACATACATACCATGGTCGTTTAGTTTTCACAATTATTTTATTTTTTGTTA